CTTTAACCTTGTAGTGATGGTCCTTTGGTGGAGACTCATCACATAAAGTAACAGTTATGTGCGCCTTTTTTGCAAAACACGCGTAACACATATAAGTTATTTCTGTTGGGATGTGTAGTCTCCATAACAACTGCAGGTGTTAGATGAAATTCTCCCCACCTACCTGTCTCTTCTTTGTTGTTGAGGAGGTACTTCAAGTTGGGGCAGACACCCATATTTGATTTTGTTGTGTCTGGGAGAGTGGTTCACCTGTCCTTATTGCTGGAAAGTAAAACCTTGAGTCATGTTGTTACTTTTACTACTTCCAACTAGGTGAGCATCAAGCCTTCCAATCTCCATGGCAACCTCCAGAAATACGCTCAGATTTCGTCTCAGGAAGGCGCTTTCATTATAGAAGTACCGACAGTCTGGACCCTGGAGCAGGCCTACCGGGTCAAACCAATGGCTGGACAGGAGACTAGTCTGGGCGTGGTTGAGGTTGTTTATGTCAGACAGCTTGAACTTTCTGCGCTGGTGGAAGGCAGGTGTGTGTAAATTTCAATATTTTCATGGTTCGTTATACCTGTACTTGCTTAGCAACGTTTCTCGAATTATGTGTATCTTGCAGTGTATCGCCTTGCAGTAATGGGTTGATGGTTCTTGGTTGTTTTCAAGAGTATTGGAATTTCCAGCCGATTCTCCGTCTTTGCTGTTGTGTGGAATTTGTAATTAAGATTTCGTTCAAATCATTTAATATATCGATTGTTTGGGGGGGGTTGGCAGGGCACATAACTGTTTGTCTCCTGAAGTAAATTTTGTTTATTTATCCTGATAAAGGAAACTTCCCATACCAACAATCAAAGTCAAACTCCGTCAAGTGGAACAAACCTCCCCTCCATGCCCCACTCCCCAGGGGAATTCAAAATCCCCAGGGGACAGTGCCCTTGGCTCTCCCCTGGGTAAAGGCTTCCGTCACACTATGGAGAAATTAGCAGCCAAGTTTGGTCTAGGCTCAGGCCCACTGCCCAAAGCTGCTAGTAGTGAGTTCTATGTAAGTGTGGATCTGGCACCAGAAAAGCAAGATCACCTGACCAATCACAGATCAGATGATGTCATCAACAGCCAATCAAAAACTAAGGAGGAGCCATCAGTTCTGCATAAAGTAAGTTTCTGTTCTGCTTGTCAGATCAGGTATCTGTAGAAAAAAAAGTTATCTTGAGATCATAGGATGGATTCATATAGAGGGGTCATACACCATTGCCGGTTACAATACCATCTGTAACCAAAAGCATGCTTTCTAGATAAAAAGCCAGTCAGTTCTGGTTTTCAGATTTTTGTGTAAATACATGTACTGTATAAACCAGCCCAATTTGTTCTTTTCTGCATTTAAAATGACAAAAAGACAAGAATGACATTGGATCCCGTGACTTTACAGAATGCACTGTTTTACCAGTTGACTGTCAAGAGACCGGTTTGAAGAGCATTCCTTAGGCTAAAGGATAGAATCCCTCTTCCCTTAGCTGTCTTTGATAACCGAACATTTCTATGCAATTTGAAATCAAAATTATTCCAAGTAATTTGCTTTGAAGGAGCCAATGAGCTGCAGTACCCCGAAGAGAGAGGTTGCAAAGGATACTGTTCCCATGACGATGCCGCGCCCAACAATGATTAATCCTACTGTCACCATTACATCCCACCCCAGCCCAACAGAAGAACGGGTCCCTTGGAATAAGAGTATCATTGGCAACAAAGGTATGAGAACTCAGAAACTGTAAGTGAATTAGAACTTGAATTCAGGAACTAGAAATGGAACCTTAGGACTAGGACTTTCAATGTACATGAAGAACCCAAGAACTGTAACTGAATATCCAAAAGCCAGAAGGACCAAGTTTTTAAATATCTGGTCAACAAATTCATAAATAATAACTATACAGAGCATCTTGTTGTGAGTATTTTCTAAGACAAAACATTTTTATGAGGAAATGTCAAGATTTCGTGGTCAGGAAGCTTTTCATGGAAATCTTCAGCATGTTCCTTAGTTGCAATGATTCATAGGCCACAATTTACTTTGCACAGCAAAGCTGGTTTGATTTTAACATCACATTTTAACATTATTTTAGCATCAGGATAATCTGTGTTGACTTAAAATGTCCTATGCAGTTTTAACTTGCATTTACAAAGACAGAAATATTGTAAATAAATTCAGGGTTTTATAACATCTTGCAGTTACATATGCGCAATTCAGGAATCAGTTTGAAAAGATGACTTTACCTTACATCCAGGTCGAGCCAGGACAGCCAGGAAAGGGTTTGCATCAGATGCTGAAGTCCAAGATGTGGTTGACCTCTTATCAGGGGTCACCAGAGCTCCTCAGCCTGTGATTGGTCAACACTTAGATACCTTTGGCCAATCCCAGCGATCGCCTCAGAACACCACACCTACTTCCAGCTCTAGTAATGGGAGTACCCGTAGTGCAGTGAGTGGTGTGTGGCCTACTAGTGGTAGCATAGACCCAAACCCAGCCAAGTACGGTAATTTTAACCCTTCCTTCCAAGAGGCGGAGTCTCAAGACAGGGTGAGAGAAATCCCTCCAACAACCATGAACATGGTAGCTGTCTCCAGGGCCTGGTCTCGGCCAGTTTCCATTCAGCCGGCTGCTTCCCACCAGCAACAATCAGGCCAGTCATTACACCAAACTGAACCGTTTGGCAAACATGATGCAGAGAGGAACATTGTGTCAATGTACGACAGCTCCAGCACAGATGCCGAGTTTGCTAAATACATCGCCACCAATTTCCTGGGAAAGAGAACAAAGGGTTATGCCAAGGATCTTAATATGGTTGGGGACCAGTGGGGTTTCCCAGACAGCCGGTTGAATCAAACATGGCCACCTCCACCAGAAGGAACATCAGAAAGGTTAGAGGATTTATTGTAGAATGTAGTTCTTGTTAGTTGGGCATTGGATCCATTTTAAGGCCAGTTATACTTGGCATGAAGGATAACAGTAACAGGAAATGGTATCAGATCAATTCGTCACGCTGTAACTTTGCAAAAGTTGAACACGTTTGAACTCAAGTGAATTTTGCAACAACTTTTTGTACCATCAGATTCACTTTGTTTTTGCTTCTGCCTGAAGTATGACTTGGCCTTTATGCTGTATTTTTTGTATTTCACAGCATAGTTCTTGTGTCATGCATTATCACACGGTGCTTTCTTCTGTACGGGCTTTCAAACAATTTTTGGACATAAACTCATCAAAATGTCAGAGCATCACAAATGTACAATTGTCCGAAGAGGTTCTGACGCGGAGACAGTCTTTGACAAGACCCGATCTTTCATGTTACAAATCCGCAGAAATGTACATGAATGGAATACACCGTTGATGGGCAGGCAACACAATCTGTACCTGGAAAATCCAAAATAATGGACATCCGATGTGCATTCTTTAGAGAATTGAAATTTTGAAAACGTGCTCAGATCAGGTGGAAAAATGGCCAACTCACTCTATAAACCTGGATATTTACAATTTTGATATACCTGTTACTTGTTCATTTTAACCTTTAGGAATATTTGCCAACTATAAAGAAAAACTTAAATTAAAAATGTATAGCCTAAATTGCAAGAAAAAATGGCCAATGGTTGCACCAGGAGGCTGTAAAGATACACTACAGAGCATCTACAGTTCCAAATTTTCCCGGCGCCCTAAAGCAGGATATTTTCATCAAGTTTTTATGTTCTACTCACACCCCTAATAAATATTATTTGGTACTTTTGTGCCTTTTAAGATCTCCTCTTTCATGAAGTAGCATTGGTTTAGTCAAAGACACGCTAAATACTGGACCAACTAAAAAGATACCAACTTCAACAGCGATTTTCTGGAAACCTAGGTTTTACTCTCCAGTCAGAAATTTGATAAAATTTCATAATTTGTCATAAAAAAAATTTTCATAAAAATGGTGACGATATTGTACCACAAGCTGCACTAAGTTCCTGTTTTGATAAAATGATGTGTGGTATCTTAGCTCAAGCAATGTGCAGTGAACAATAAAAATGTAAGTTGACCTCAATCATGAGTTTAACCTTATCTTTGGGTTTTTTGGTGTAATTTCTAGAACCCCGGAGCATCTTAGTCACAGCTTCACTGGTCAACAGGACTCTGGTAGCTCCAGTGATGAATCAGGAGAAAACGGCGACACTGCATTCTCCATGGGTCTGGGGTTAACAGGGCCAAACTTTGTTGCTTCTGTCAATAGAAGGTACAATAACCTACACTTATTCATGATTAGAGTGGAGAGCCAGTGTAAAGATAATACTGTTCGTGCATTAATGAAAATCAATCATGCGTGCTTTGTACGTCACACCTGTGAACCAGTGTGTGGGGGGGTGTTTCCATTTTTGACCACACCTTTCATGTACAGCAAGTAGTGTTAACATCAGGTACAGCCATTCTTCACCATGATGAGAACATTAACTAGGATTGCTCACAGACCAATATACCTTGACACAAAACTTCATGGTCTACCATGTTGTGATTCAGTCACATCTAATAACAGACATGTAATTGCCAAGTTTTCCAATGCATTGTCTGTTAATTTAAAGGAGGTAGAGTCTCTGTCCACCTTGAGCAGAAGCACCCCCTCATTGGTTGAAAAGAGCCATGTTGGTGGGGAGTATTCATTTTGTTGGCAGTGACATGACCATTCCACGTGCATTTTATACTTTCTTTTCTTGAATTAGCAATGTACTGTTCCTAGCTAAGGAACCTGCCTTGCTAGGAAAACTGTGCCTTTTCTTGGTCTAGCTTGGGGCTCAAAGTAATTTGAACCTCCTTTGTGGAATGTCATATTGAGGAAATTTACTCAGTATTCCTCCAATCCAGATTTGAAATAATTCAATCTCCTCACCTGTGGTAATCTTGAGTTATATTTCATATAATTTTAATCTGCCAAATGAGCAAGCATAGTTAGGTGGTTTTTGTAGAAAGTTGTCATTCTTCATGACAACATCGACTTTTGGATATCTGAACAATTGATATTTATGCAGGAGGCACAGTAGTGGAGGTGAGGAGGTGGTCCATCATGGGCGGAGCTTTGATCCAACTGGACAGGCGGCAATGAAGTATTTGGAAGTTGCACAGATGGTAAGTGGCATTCAGTCTCATTCCCAAGGTTTTCTTAGCTTAGTTCTGGAGTAGTTCCTATCAAAGTACTCGAACTTAGTTTCAATGTTTTTGAAAATGAATCTAATAATTTTGTGTCAATTTCTTCTCTAACGATAGGAGCCGAAGTCTACTAAGACCTGGCCACCCAAGGTGCTATGGCAACGACCTGTCTCCCCTAACAATGGTGCTTCCCAACCTTCTGCTCCTTACCCAGTCCCACCTCAAGAACAACTGCTTGTCCATCCACCCCTGACGCCACAGTGGAGTGACCCAGTGACCCTACGCCAGCCCCCAATGTGGCCTCCTACTGGTGGGTCCACCCCTGTATCTCCAGCGGGGTCATTGTCAAGACTGACCCCTATACAGCCTGGTCAGCAGGGTTCCTTGGGAGGAGGGGCTGTAGGTGGGCTGGGTTGTGTACAGTCTGGAGGAATATCAAGAGCACATCCTAAACTAGATCGTAAGTATGCTTATAGCCAGTACTAAACAAACCAGTTGCCTGTGTTTCTTAAGTTTGACAATCTTTTGATTAGCACCAATATCTGTCTGTTTTTTTTAACTTTCCATGGAAGCAGTCTGCATTATAGCAAAGATGTACTGGTAGGTTTTCTTTTTTTTTAGTTTGTAACTTTCAAATAACAAATGGTGCATTGGTCAATGTTGCCTCAACAGAGACATGTAATTGTCACTTTTTATGACAAATGTTGCAGATACATGTTCACTTTGGTTTAAATATTAAACTTTTTCTTTTAAGTAGTGATTTCAAAACTTTAATCAAATTTTCTTCCGACAAATTTACCTCATTTAGAGTCTGAAGAGATTATATTGAGTACTGACCATAGCATTGATTGCTGGAACAGAACTTCTTTAGAAAAAATAATTTAAAGATATATTTTGTATTTTTTTTTACAAAGCTAAGGCTTGAATCACATGAAGGCCCTGTTTAGAAGAAATTAAAATCAACCATATAAAGGACAGTGTTTGAAAATATTTGACATAAATTCCTTTTCCTTGACAAAAGCACTGACACAGATAAGACAAACTTTGAGTTTTCTCTTTTGGATCAATCAAAAACTAATACTTGATATGTAATTTCAACAAAGCTGGCTTGGTTGTCAATAGTGTACATGTACATAAGCACACCTGTGGGCCTGGTGCCCTGCACAGCGACATTTGTACCAAGAAGTTCAGATGAATAACATTTTGTATTGTGAAGGTGTGGTGTGGTTAAAAGAATGACTTTTTTGTCTATAAAAAACTATGGGAATCAGATCGTGTTTGTTTATCATACTGCTGAAATTTTCTTGCCTACTTTATGACTCCGAACATATTATTGATCATAACATTGTGTGAAATTTGACTCTGTTATTGAGTTGTTGACCTGTGTTTTGACAGTGCTTGGGGTTTTGCTCTTGACAAACCTGTACAGTTTTTGTATTACAAAGTCACATTTGTTGTTGGCAACCAGTTTTGCAGTGATGTGGAATTTCAAACAAATCTTCCATGATGATATTCCTGCGAAGGGCCATAGAGCAGTTCGGTAGCACTTCTTGTCAAACCGCCCCTCCAAATTGTTCCAAACCCCTCCCTTCCCAGTGGTAAGTAGGATCCAGTGTGCAGGTTACACTTGGAGGTCTTCATGCACTTTCTGGGGGAGTACTCTAAGGGGTAGCATATCAACATTGAGCAATCCAACCGCCATACGTTTCCTTTCCAAATTTTAAGCAGTAAAGCAAGGTTGGGAGATTACATATATAACAATGCAATGCACACGCCCAGCTGCATGTCACATCACAGAAACTTTCCTATTGCTCTTCCATTATCCTTGGCCAGATCACTGTCTTCAATTTAACTTCCGTCAACAATTCTATCATTACTTTGAGGATTTAAATGAGTGTTACACATTTGATTTCCAATAGTGCAGAAGTTGCGGATTTAGTTGCAAAAATTACAGCGTATACATGTACATATGATAATATTTGCACAATCTGTGCTCCAGAAAAAATTAATCAGGCTTTTGTAGCATTTGAGAAGAGAAACAGTACAAGTTTGAATGTATAAAGCTGAAGCAACTTTGTCCATGTTTGATTTGGAGGTGTTGACTGTTTTTCCTGTATAGGTAATGTTATTCATAATCATGGCCTCTTTGAAGTGTTGAGCTCTCAAAATACAAGTTTTCTGTAATTCAAAACCTTTATCCAAGTGATAGTAAAAAGACAGTGTGTGTTACCTTTCACTTGATGTATGGGGGGTTGAATGAGGATTTGTCTCTATTATGGGCTTGACAAGAATTTAGATTCATGTCTGTTTTTCCATATTTTGGCATGTACAGTTTTAATATTGTTGAAACACACTTTCATACACAGAATTTTCTGTACCCTGACATTCTTCCAGTACCTGGCTGGTCCAGATTGCTGAAGGAATAAACTTTTTCTTGATAGATAAACCAGTGAATTCTTTCATTGTATCAGGTGCTACTTCTACAACTATGGCCAAAATGTTTTGGTCAAGACTGACAATTACCAGTGCATCTATGTAAAAACCATTGGCTAGCAGCCATAGCCACTTCCCGTAGACAGTCACCCTCAGCCAGTTGATTGGACATGGCTTGATCTTGGGAGACGAACAAATGCATCTTGATTGTAAATTTACCACTGAATATTAACATTGCGCTGATGCAGTAAACCACAAAGTGCACATTGTTTGGGCACCGGTGATTCATGGAGTTGCAGGGTACCAGTTTGTGGTGGACATACCAACTAATATCATTCTTCACACATTATGCACTGACTCCCAGCATCATGTTTTCCTCGGTCTCTATGGATTTCCCTGGTATTCATTAGCCAGGATGAAAAAGGATCCTCTGTACAAAGCAATCAAATAAGCTCAATAAAAAAATGAACAAATGTTTGGATGAATATTGTTATTTACTTAGCTGTACGTATTGCAGTACACCTTGATAACTAGAATAACATTTGCATTGAAAAAGGGAAAAAATTATATGGTGCTTGAAATGTAGCAGACAAATGCTGAAATATGGTACACGGATTACTGTTATGTAGTAATGAATTGTGTAGGATAAACATGAAATAGCATAAGCTGCAAACTAATCTTTAGGCTTTCAATTCTTGAAATACATTTCGCAGATTACAATGAACATTGCGTATAGATAGGCTGTGCATATTTGTTACTGAGAACAAGGACTAAGTTTATTTCTGGAAAGGGTGGGAGTCCCTCATGTTTAATCTGGTTTTACTGAGTTGAGATGATTTACAACCAGAACTGTGATTTTTCTCTCTTTTTGTGGACAGTTGCTTTTAGAAATCAGTACTATTGTTCACAGGGATAGATTTTCAGAAGTGTAAAAATAAATTTGCTGTCACCATTTCCACAACTTTGGGTTAACTGTATTCTCTGATGAGACAATTCTTTCTGAAACTGACACTTGGAAATATTGATTGCGGTTACATAAATTTGGAAATTTTACCTTAGATGGTTGCTTCGCCAAAAGGACTTGGATCAAGTTGATTATTTCAGTAAAGGAACTACTATAGTGGAAATGAAGTGACAAGAACTGTCTTAGACTTTTCATTGGAACTTACTTTTTGATTGAATAAAATTACATGTTGAATGTTACTCTTTGAGATTTTGTTGCGCATTATGTCAATACTTTCCCCTCTGAAAATCTGATTTGTGTTCACATAAACCAATGACTGGGTTTGGGGGCCTGGTATAGGGGCGAAGCTGGAGGTACCTGCAGGGGTGAAGGAAGGGGTTGGAATAAATGTTTTGGGGTGTGGGGTGGAGAAGGATATTTGGTGTGGGGGTACTGAAGGAGTCTGGGGTAGGGGGGTTGTGGGGTTTGGGAAGAAATTGGAGAAAGGGGGTGAGAAAGAGGTAGGGGTCACATCAACTGCCAGGACTAGTTGCTAGATCTGGTGCCAGGCACATGGGTGTTCTGGTCTGTATTGACAAGTTCACGTAACAAATGCAATATTTCACACGTACATATATTTCATTTATTTTACAGCTTGCTTTTAGTATTTCAAAGCACCAATACTGCAATGTACATACAGTTTAACCATATGCTGCCAGGTTTAATTTGAAGCTGCATGACGTATACCTGGGGCATTTTCAAGATTTTCCATTTTCAATATTCTTAAAATATTTATGACTTCATTTATTGGACGTTTACACCCACACCAATGACTGTCTGGTGGCTACTCTAACCTGACAAACATCTATTGATGCCCGAGTACTTCAGCCAGGCCTACTGCATTGTTAAGAGAGCCCAGATTGTGTGGTGTAATTTTCTTTTGTTCCCAAAAGTGGCCCAGTGTTCTGCTGGCATCATTTCAAATGCAGACCAGATTAGTAAGCAGCGGTATTGTATCGCTCATCCCTGGAGCACTGGAGCTCTTTTGTCCCCAGAGGTAATCCACTTACACTGAATGCCACAAACAGTGATATAATCATTCCAAACAATGACGGATTTCCTCCGCTATTGACAACTGAAAAAAATGTTGGCAATTCCCAGCAGCCAAGTCTTATGTTCAGAGTATGGCCTATGTTACAATGCCCAACTCTTTTGTCTGATTTCGGGCAGCCCGGCTATGCGTATAAACCGAAGCAGTCCGGTTCCAGAAACCCGGGCACCAAGTGGTTAAAATAGGCAGTGTATATTAACATACAACCTAAGAGTACAAAAATACTTTTTTGGCTACATTTCTTCAAAGCTGCTGCTTCTAAATGTAACTAAATTCAAATGCCAGCAGTAAAGAAACACCATCTGAACTTGATTCAAAGTTCACCAATTTTACAAAGATACAAATGGACTTGATACTTTAAGTCATCACTCATACATGGTTGCATGCAATCAAGCCCATGAAAATGCAAACTCAAAACTTACAGAGTCGAAAAAAGGTTTATACCAAACATCAACCAATAAAGTCTTTGCAAACTGCAGAAAAAGCAAAAATACATTCTTACATTTATGGACAAAGGGTCATCCAACAAATCTTTTGAAGTACACGTACCTGCTTACATGACTTCAAGTCACACATATCAAGCTTTATACAATTTCTCAGTTTTCATCTTCAACTTTCCCTGCTTTGAGAAGTCACTACCAGAATTCATGTCTTCAGACTCCCCCTTCAATAGATTTTTGAAATGACTCACAATGACTCAAAAGCAATGCACTGTGGATGACAGATAAGATGTTAAAGGGAGACGGACAGTCGGACACATAACCGAATGACAACCCTGCATTTCTGTCATCAAAGGCAGCTAAATACCTTCAGGATGTAAAGACAAAGGGAAAATCCTTCACTGAGTTGGTGTACAAAGGTCAATATTATGAACTGAGTCAGTATCATCATTCAATGCAAAACTTTCAGGAGTTGCTGCCAAGTTGAGGAAGTCAATGTTCTTACTTGTCTCTCTGAACACTTTTGCTCATGATACCTTATAGCCATTTGGTTAATAATGCTACTAATTACACTTGCATCAGTGATTAAGATGAAACACAACATAAACCTTGTCACATCCATACTCTTCACGTGAACTACACGGATTCTAAGAACATCCAACCCTGCTCCAGATCAAAGTTTTGATAAAGATACACACAGAAGCACCATTTGCCAAATGTTGATGGATAGAGAGTGAACGCTGAGTAAGAGACAAACATCTACATGTATATTTTGGGATGGATTCTGTTCTGATGCTTTTATACAGCAGCAGCTGAAACCATCTGACATGGAATGGAAAGGATACCCGAGCACCAACACTGGCTGTTAGAGACAAAGTCCAACAAGCAAGCAATCACTTACACCTACTAGTCCCTAGAGAACAATTCCTAGATGTCACTGATACCCTTGATGGGAGGATTGACCTGAGACCATTTGAGGAGATGAACATCCACTGACACTCTCCTAACCCTAGCGTCCTGTTATTGAAACACATCATTAGGAGAACCGGATCTAGGCAATTTCACATTCAGCTGACACCATTCTCAACTTGTAATCAATCTCAATTTCACATGAACTCTTGCTTTGCACATTTTTGTAAAAACACCTTCGGCACAGCCAGAACACTTTCCTCAAGTCTTTTGCAGGTTCAGTTAAAACGCATCGTGGGGTGGGGTTTCCCTTTTGAATTACAACAAAGCATTTCAACATTTACATTTGACTTTCCTGGCAAAAACCAATGGTGCTCATCACGTAGTTCAAGACAGGTTAACAAACCCCTGCTATGGTATGGCCAAGTGTCTTTGTGTATTCTCAGCCACTCTGATAGACTGGTAATCCGCCAATATCGTCCATACATAGCATTTATTACAAATATCAATGTCAGAATACATGTACATCGATGTACCAGATACATGAATTCACATTTAACTTATTAAAATCCCATGCATTTAAACCCTCTGTTCACCTGGTAAATGATGAAAAAGGTTATTTATGTTGTAGAATACACTAATGTTAATGTGCTTGAAATAACAAAAATTAAATGCATTTTGGCTAGAATCAAATCATTAGACATAAATACAGATCATGGCTATCATTTATGGTAACCCTATGTACCGGTATCTCATAAAATCACAAATTGGAACAAACTGATACCTCAATTTTATGGCACAGTGATACATCTTCAACATTCTGTTCACAACCTCTATCCCATTTGCAGAGACTGACACCAAGTTAGCGCAACAGACAAAGGCAAAGAACAAGGACAGAATCCACTCAGAATCTAGAAAGCAACAGAAAGCTGTAAGCACACACACCCATGCACCTGTATGCACACACAACCATGCACCTGTAAGCACACACACCCATGCACCTGTATGTGAAGCTAGGAACTATGTCTTCGGTTACAATGTGACACAATGTTCCTACTAGCCATTCAATATGCAGTTACATGAATATTGGCTCTAATGTACAACACTGATACAATAGCTTATAAGTAAGCACACAGAGCTTCAGTTTAAAATATGGTATACTTCTGATATAAATAAGCAAATTACAGCAAGTTGACCATAACCCTGACGACTTTGCGTTTGCATCTGAGCCTTTCACTTGCTCAGATTATTATAATGTATGTACCAGCATTAGCAACATTCAACTCTGTGGGAACCTTACCATGCAAACATTACCCTCCAAGTATTCATGGCTGATTTGTAATTGACAAGACAGATCATTTTACAGGTATGCATTACAAAGAGCTCAGAAGACCACATGGAAATCAACCACACAGACTAGTCAGCAGATTGGGTAGCCTGACCTACCTGGGCATGTGTGAGTGGGGTACAGTACCCTTACATGTATAACTACCTGCCCCTCCCACCCACCTGCCAATCACAAAGATACATCCTTTTATAGGCCACCACTATCTCATTTACAGAGTTAGTGTTTCAAATACAGTACGTGAGCATCCATAAACCTGTCATTTTCAAGTATTCAAAATTGTCTCCAAAAATTTGAAACCTTCTCAAAGACATTTTGCTCCTTCCCCAACCAGTCAGTAGTCTGGAAGCCTGTCTCCCATTCTTGCACATCACATACACTGCACATGTTTAAAAAATTAAAATTAAATTTGTTAGATACGTGAAACTAGCCAAACAAACTCAGGATTATGATCAACAATGTTACAACCATGGTGTGAAATTACATGTCTTTCTTGCTGAATCTTTGGGTGTAAATAGGTACAAAATGATTTTGATCTCATACTTCAAAATAAATAAGCAGAAAATTTAGGAAAACCTCTTGAAATTTTCTGAGACAAATACAAAAACATCCAAGTCAACAAGTCATTTAAAAATGCCTTTAAAATTACAGCCACTTCTAAACGTACAAATGCTGCAGAGAAAATTATTCAAAGTTTGAATACTGGAAGACTTCACTTGTTTCACACTCTTAATGGTCAGAGCTCATTTACAACTTTTAGAGCTCAGACTGGTCAACAAACTTCTGCCAAAATATGCCACTGTAGCTCAAGAATCATTCCTATCTCCTCAATAAATACTTCACTCTTCATGCCAGTATTCTGATCCTTAGTAATCACCAGCCGCACATTCTTTACACAATGCTTCATTCTTGCCGTAGCTCAGACAACCCTCGCCGATGCACTCACAGCAACCATTGTGGAACCAACGTTGCTTGGCTGCCCCCATGGAGCTACATGTAGTCTGACACTTCTCTAAGGAGTTACAGTCATGCATGTAGGCAACGATACACTCATTTGACATTGAGGAGTTGCTAACAGCAGCCAAAGTAGGTGATTCTTCCTCATACACTGTTGGCATATCTGTGAAAAAAGCAGAGGAATGCATCAAGGTTATTGATAAGAAATTTCAACACCAACATCCAACATCGGAGAAAGTAGAGCCATGCAATCAATAATTCAATCCTATCGATGGACAAATGAGTTGATGAAGAATGAGAAGTGATGAGATTCAAGTCAGTTGACCAGGTACATGTATATCTAGTCTCTCTAAACACACTACATGTAGCCACTATGCATTCACTGCAAATCTGACACCGAGCAAGGATTTGGATTAGCTAAGCCATCGATAGCTGACAAGTCGATAAATTACCTGTAGTGGGAACAACTATGATTCCTTGATCCTTTAAGGTCAGGGGGAAGGCTGCCCATCTCATATTGGTTTCCTGGGATGCCTCCAGGCCAGTCAAGGCATTGAAGAGTGACGGGAAAGAATCTAGATCAAGAAGGGTACTCAGACGCCAAGGAGGGATGGGATCTTGACCGAGAGCACGACACAAACCTAAGAAAGTAAAAGGAGTATAAGATGATCATCATGTACTGCTTGTCATTTGTCTTTGGGATTACACATTTCTACAACATAATTGAGGAAGTAGTCAGAGATTTAATGCAATGGTTTGTTTGACCATCTGTCATGCTGTCATCTTTTCTGTGTCCATAGTTACAGGATCAGGTTTGGGATAACCAGGATTTATTTATCTGTTTGTTGTTCATTCTCCTGACAAGGCTCTGCAAGCAATGGGTCATGGTTGGTTGGTCTCTCCTACTGTTTAGCTGGAGTTCATTTCTCGTACCTACCTGTGCAAGGGCAACATTCTTCCCAGGAATCGCCCAAGCAGCGGGAACAATCCAAACAGCACGTACAGTTGTCAGCATCGTAACTGCAACCACAAGATCCAATCAGTTGACACTTGCTGACTTCCGAGGCACATCTGTGCTCATTGCAACCAATGATGTTGCCGACAGCAGCCACCCAGAGCACACCCAGTAGGGCAAGGGTCAACCAGTACCTGTCTATCATTGTGAGGCTGGGTTGGTCAATACCTCTATGGAGAAACCAAAATCATTACAAACCATCAAAATGCATTATGGGTAGTAGATTGCCTCTGATCATTTCAGCTTGAGTCCAACCAAATGTTCTGTTAACCATGCAATGTCATACCAGTGTCAGCCCAAAGGGAAGGGGAGATGAGGGGACACTCCCCCCTGTTGTAATAGCAATGAATTCTGGGCATTTTCTTTCTTGTTCAGAATCAGAGCCACAATGAAGGAATTTCTATTCTGAGCACACTGTAGTCCGATACAGCTCTAACTTCATTTCAATGACAAAACATTCTCCACAATGTCACTCCACCAATACCTATCCCCCCGATATCTCCCCCCACTTGGCCCCTAAATTATGCAGTCTGGCACCATCACTAGCACCATTCACTCAGTTTATTTAAGTAAACATGCCTCTAGTGAAGGGCCAACATCTCCTTAAATGTATCTCAAAATGTTCACCACATGTACTTTCTAAAAACATCCTGCAATAAAATTGATGAACTTCCAAATTACAGTAGGTGTGACCCCCTTGAGAGAAATGAATTTTGTCAAGCCACAAGTTGAAAGGGAAATACCCCTAGTATTAGTACACGCAGGTAACAGTTTATTAACTGCTCCTAGCAAAAGACCTTTGTGAGTAAATACAGCTTTCATGGGATAGATCTTAAAGTTACATTGGTTTTGAATAAGTGTCCCTAGCAATTTTAGGAAATGTTGAGACATGATTTATTACTTGATAATCATCAATGATTCACAATGGTGTTGATCATTATTTCTGTCACACATCATGGCTTATTGAGGCTTGCTGCCATCCCAAGCCTTAAACTGCCTTCAACTTGAGGGAATTCTCAGGAAATGGTGTAAATTGGCCAGTTACTGTCAGAGGAAGTTATCTTAAGCTCTGTTGATCACGACACACAGTGAGAGTGTGCAATCAGATTCTGCTGGTAAATTACCAGTCCACTTCCGTCCAGACATGCCAGACAGGTACCCTATGGACAATTCAAAGTTCTCAATTTCTGCAAGTGTATTTTAATTTAAAATTTGCACCATCATTGAAAAAACTTCAATCTTCTGCCAAAAGAAATGTGAATTTTACTAAATGAGTCTCACAGTGCCCGTTAATTAAGTGGACAGTTAGAAACTATCCACTTAATGGCCTGGCAGCCTATCCATCAGATACGGACAGACTGCTGGAGGGAGTTAAAAATTCACCGTAAAACAAAGGAGTATCAATCAGGCCTCATTTCAATTTTTATGTATGGATAAATTCCAAGAATTTATCCTTATCGATTTGGGCATAATGTGTCAACTGTCCAAAGAACATTCAGTTTTGAAGGTGGTGGTACAGCATTCAAAAGTCTGGTAAAGTAAGTCCTAATTCAGCGTGATTCTGCTTTCTGGTTCTAGCTGGAAGTTTGAATTTTATTTTGTCCACACTCAATTCACCACCACATTTTGTTACCAAAACTAAGAGAATTTGTATTCTGTATTACTGATAAGTTCAACCTTAAAAATTTAATGAGAGAAATTTGTGACCCACTCTGTGAAAATGAGTCTCAAGTCACCAGCGCCACTTTTTGAGTTTTCATTTGTATTGGAAAAAGCAAATTGAGTTTTTTGTTTTGATGTATCACTCAGTTTGGCATCCTGATGAAAGTGAAAAATACTGTGGGTTCCTATTGATTTACACTGTGCACAATTATTCTAAAGGACTTTTACTCCAAAGTGGCTCTGGCAATTTTATGACTCATTTTCGCAGTGTGGGTCACATTTAGGGTGTTAAGTTGTTTACTATTGGGGTGCCCAAAAACTGTCAAAATAAAAATCCAACTTGCTGCCTGCAAAAAAATTGACATTTTTGAAAAGGGGCAATGTGGCTTCAGAAAATCTGAAATTCCGTTGCCACAACATGTGAAAATTATGGTGTTCCATGTGTGCCATCCGGTCGCATTTTTCAGCCGGTGTCGTATTTTTAACCGGCGTCACATTTTTCAACAGGCGTCGCCTTTTAATGTGAACAAGCCATTAATCATCAATGGTCAATCTTGGCCCAGCCGGACCTGACGTTGTTGACTTGGATGCTTAAAGTAAGCGTACATAGTTTTAATGATTATGGAAACGGTTAAATTAGCATGTGTGCATCAATTAACTGTATGTAAATAAATTAACAGCCCTTTAATGAACCCAATTACTCGTGGGAGTTCACCTCGCTGAAAGCACGTTGTGGTTATAGCAACGTATACATTTCTACTCAGGTCGGAGGCTACAGCATGTAGGCTACAGGCTGTGTTATACCAGGCAAGATATGGGACGGAGGGGTACCCCCCCTTACCTGTCCAATCCCTATACACACTCTAGACTATTGTTACCTAACATATCCCCCTAGAAGTCTGTAAAGAATTCCTGAGATTCCGATCAAACAACGACCAACACAAAGGCCGGGGTTCTCTCCGTCAAATACAGTATCTTGCTTCAAATGGGCTGTGTGGAGGTCAAAGTTAAAATTTATCATCGAAAAATGTGACGCCCGTCGAAAAACATGACGCTGGCTGAAAAATGCGACGCTGGTCGAAAAATGTGACGCCAGATGAAAAGTGTGACATCCGTCGAAAGATGCAAAGCCCGTCGAAAGATGCGACCAAATGGCACATATGGAACACCATAGAAAATTGATAGACCACTTTTGAAGCACCATTTATTTTCTGCTGGTCGGTGTTTGAATTTTCTACCAGTAGTTGACCAATTTCTGCAAGCAGAAAAATCCAGTTTTTATTGATTCAAATTTTAAAAACCTTAAAATCTACTAGAAGAAAATGAGAAATTTGGGTAGTCCATTTCTGGCACTCCACACAGGTGTCAACATAACTTAAATGAGTTCATCTATGACAACAAATATGATAGTTGGTTCAATTTATGCAATTAACTGCAAAATGATACTATTGGAGTTTTTCAAATCCTACACTTAACCTTGAGCAGAGTGAGCAGACAATGCCAACTGTTAGCTCATGTAACAGTGTGTAGTGAAGGTGAGTCCATGAAAATTCCCTGCAAAGCAGAGGAGGATACATCCACATACTAGTAATTCAAAGGCTTCCACATATTTTTTTAATCTCTTAAATGGTCTTTAAGGAGATAAAGAGACACCCCATAGTTAAAAATCTCAATAATGAGGCTAGACATTTTCATGGTCTCCATCACACCTCCTGAAACACCTGTTGTGTCAGGATGATTAAGAGGGAAGGTCAAAGGGCAAGGTCAGAGGTCAAGCATGCTCTTCCTCTTAGTCAGCAGGAGGATGAAGGATTGATCACAGGGCTTTTCTGATTTGGGGTTGTGTGGAAAGTTTAACAATCCATTAATCTTTCTGCCCACATCTTTGAGGAGAGACTGGCCACACCTGGTTAGCTTCAAACAATGTTTGCAGACAGAACAACCCCAGCAGAAAAACTGCCCCCATAGCCATTTTGTTTTGAGACCACAAAGTGCAAACAATCAAGAAGTTGATCTCCCAGATTTTGTTTTGGGAATATATCTTCTTTAAGCATTCAAACAATTCCACACTGCATTTACTGGATAACTCTGAGAGTAAGTGTGCTAGCGCTACTTGTGTGATGTCCAGGAGCAAAATTAAATCATTTGAAAGTGATTTTGTGATTTGGAAAGTTGTAACTCAATCTGTCAAAAGATTCACAACCCCAGAAGGTTAACTCTGACAGTAACCTAATTTCCTACAAATCCCCTGCAAGACAAAGCAAGCCTCTCTAGACAGAGGCAAATGATTCACCTAATGCAGTGACACAGGAGAGTAAAAGGAGATGTCCAAGGGGAACATTATGAGCCAACACAGCCTAATTTGACTTGACATCATTGTAGATTTATGGGGTGGTCTGGTCTCACAATTCACACCCTGGGAAGTGTTTACAAGGTTCTGCTGCTATCAGTTCTTAGTCATTATTTCACTTACAGCACCAGAGCTCCAGGATGGGGGGGGGCCTGGTGAATTGAGGTCTAGTTTTCGGACATTCAGAACAAACTTTGTACATCTAACTTAGAACCCAATCTTCATAGAGTTTATTCAAACCTACACCTGGGATGTGTCTTAACAGATTCAGAACCTTTTGGCTTTGATGTCCCAGTTTTTACAAAGAATATTTCACTGGTTACTAGCACAATGTTTGATTTCTGTGGATTGAGAAATGGCCATGGTGTTGGACTTGGAGAATGAATTGTCAATTGTTCCAACATACAAACCCGTTTGAGGATATCTCTACGCTCCTGCTGTATCTCCTACTAGTCAACCCTAAAGCCAAAAAGAAAACACCTACAGCTAATCACATTAATTATACTGTAAACAAGGTAAATGGCTATCACATTATCGGGAAGAAAATAATTACCAGTAGGCTTTCCATATGAAGGGAGCAGTGGGCTCAATGTGTGATATGGTACATAATTGAAAAACACAAATGTAGGCTTTTATCTTCCCTAAGATTTCCTCAATGTTTTCTGCACAGAAAATGCTCTTCTTGACAGAGGTGTACTGAAAATTCTTTAAACTTCAAGGTTCAGGAGCAATGAATGTACCAGGTACCTTCTTCAATTATGCACAATTTTGATGGAAAAACTTGGTGGATTTTGAAGGTTCCAGGTGGGAACAACTGACAGCTGGGGCATTCTATCAATAGTGTAAGTTTGAAACATTCTTTAATTTCCTTGAGTGATTAAATCACAATGGAAACTACCAGCTTAACAAATTAAAATAGTTTGACGCTGTTTTCATTGATATTTCCATGTCAAATGACAATTGTCAGGTATAACAGGAATGCAAAAACGTCACACGTTGGCGCCCTAAGTCTTAATAATGACCAAATAGGTTAAGACAGCTAATAATTGGACAATACTTTCAAAAGGTCCCTTTTTCAATGAGCCTATTGTGGAAATCCGATCAGATTCAAGAATCTATTTTGTTTCTCATTGACTGGCCAATCAGAAACAACTGCTA